ATTGTCAAATACTAATACAAACACATACTTCAGGAAACGCTTGAAACTTGTTGTACTCATATTTGGCTAAACAACAGAATAATTGCATAGATATAGAAGACGTGACAATAAGTAAACACATGGTAAATATAATAAGAGATCCCAATTTCTTTCCCGGACCAAAGATCTTGTAGACAAAGTCTTCTAAAACTGGCGACGCTTTGATTAAGCGAAATATTCTGAGCACTTGGAAGTAGACTAACGGTCCGCTCATATAGAAGATGGGAATTATATGAATGGTTGAACCGATGGCTAAGAATAGCTCTAATTTATGCAGAGATCGACGAATATATGGACGATAGCCATAACACCACACTTTCACTAAAGCTTCTACGTCAAACAAAATAGTGAATCCAACTTCTAATGGGTATAAAGTCTTGTAAAACTCATCCCTCGGTCGACCCGAGTGCTCAAACTTAACACTGGCGCCAACCATAGCATTGGCAACGATGACAATCATAATGAATATTTGAAACGAAGCCGTACTGATGACCGCTTTGATAATACGTGGCGCCCGAGACTGGGTGTCGGAGTCAGTTAACTGAATGAGACGCCATTGAGTCTCACCAACGAGTGTTGAAGGCGTGGCTTCGGTGGTGATCTGTGCCCTTTCGCCCCACATTTGCTGAAACTGGACGCGAATCTCATTAAATGTTTCGGTAATGACGGCAATGAAGACATTCTTGACGAGCCAGGCCAAGAAGAATATGAGCGTTACGAAGTAAAAGGCGGCCCGGAATGCATCCAATGAGTCCATCGCCGCATACATCACGTGACTCCAGCCCTCTTGAGAGGCCGACTGATATACTGTGAACAAAGCGTGCGCTAAGTTATCAAAACCGGAATAACCGCTAGAATTGCTGATTTCAACGCAAATCATTTTTGGAGGGCATTGATGTCCGCGCGACACAATTGGCGAACAGTATGTGTCGGGAATGGCTAAGTGTTGAATTGATGGCATGTGGGTATCGGTGTAATTGTCTTTCATAACACAGTGATGGTCTAAACGGGAGAAGAACTGAACGCCTAATAAACCAAACAATGATAGGAAAAAGAGGAAAAATAGAGTCACGTTATAGATCTGTTGCGATGATCGCAGAAATATTTGTGTGATGCGAGCCCTTGGCATCGAGAATGAAAGGAAGACCCGAACCAATCGCACCATTATTAGTGGTCGCGGCGCTCGCAATATGGATGTGGGCGAGAATGGCTTCACGTGACCCGTTATCTCAAATACGTGTAAAGTAAGTGAAATGTATAGACAGAAAAGCATCACTGCATCAAATTGTGACCACCGGTCGTGCGAATAGACTTTCAGTCCTCTCGAGTGTATCTTTGATATAAACTCAGCGCTGAACACAAGTGTCACAAATATGTCGATTATAAATGTGATGTAGAGTAGGACCGGATGCCGACTGAACGTATAAGAGGTATTGAGAGAGACCGACACCAGTGATAGGAATGCACAGAATCTCATGAATCGTCTCATATGAACGCTTTGCCACCAAAGAGTTGTCGCGCGAATGCATTCTTCAACTTCGGGGGCGAAAGAAGTTTCGCGTAAAGACTGCTTCCGTCCCAACATTTTAACTTATTTGGATTTGTGGACACAAAATACAATCATATATATAAAAATGGCATCAATAAAGTTGCCATACTTTTGGTGACTCGCAATGTATCGATCGATACATTAGTTTATTTTGAAATCAGAATTCTCCAGACCGTTAACTGCGCACGCGAGTGAAGTTGCCAAGGCAGAAAAATATAAAAGTAGTGAAGAAAACCTAATAGTTATTTACAAATGAAATATAAATAATACATAATAAATGTACTCTAATTGTAAATATAGTACAGTAATAAACTCGCATATAATATTCGTTTAATCATTATCAATTGAATATAATAACCTTATTATTCAAAACAAATATTAGCCACATCTGATATTAAAATCTAAAAAATTTAATATTATTAAAATGTCTCAAATATATTGTGTTTAATTTGAACTTGCAATTATTATGTATATGATTTATTAACAAGTATAATCTTATAAATTGTAGATTTTCTAAATATATTAAGTGAATAGACATTAAATTAGTCAAAAGATTTGATTAAACTGAAGTTAGCTTTTCACTAATGATAGGATCCGGTGAATTGACATCTTGTTTGGTTATTGTAAAGCTGAGCCCCTCTACAACATTGTCATTGCTTTGCTGTTAAATATAATGTTAAGAATTTAGTAATAAATGGAAATATAATACTAATAATTAATATTAGTTACAATTTTTTCGTTAGAAGAATACATTTGTTGCGATTTAATCCAAGGAAATATATATTTAACAAATGGAGACATCAGATTTGGGTCCATTGTCTTATTTCGTTTGCCTATCAGACCAATTGCATTATATTACAAATATGTTATTCTTGATAATACTAATAATTACAAACCTATGCACAAACTTAAGATCATTCCTAATATTAGACATATTGTGAATCCAATGACCGATAAGATTAAATACGAGATATGGAAAAATTTACCCAAACCTCTAAAAAATGATTTCATTGTATATTATAATGTAATTAACTTTACAGGCCTTTTGGTTAATATGTTATCTAAATGAATGCTTAATTGTGAGACAACTACTTAACCGATTTTAATCAAATCAACTGCATTTTAAAGATTAACTTTGAGAATTTATGTTTACTATTAATTCATTCAGTATCACAATTAGCCATTCATTTAAATAACATATTGGCCGAAACCCCTGTATATGTGACGCGAACTTACTCCGGATTGTCATAAGATTGTATATACGAAGAGGTGGGCAATGCATTGAAGCGAGAATAAGCGAGAAACTCTTAGACACGCCTTGTCGGTAGCTCTCTCCAGCCGTTTCTGTGGAAACCAGCCCCTTACTAATCGCTAGGTTAACTATCCTAATTTGATTGCCAATGAGGTTAATATTTCGGATTATTACAGCCCTAAAACAAAATATTCGTTTTTAATTCTTATAAAATATATTAGTTATAAATAGATTACAGGCGCCGTTGCGTATGGATATAAGATGCCTAATATAAACAGTGCAAATAGTGGGCCAACCATAGAGCCCACGAGTGCCATCGATGCTTGTAATACAGTACCAGCATTACCGACACCAAAAGACATCACAATAGCCAACAAACCGTAAGACATGGCTTTTAGTGTTCAAATTGATTGGTTTTATATAAATAAACCATTATAATAATATATAATGTAGTATTAACGTTATTAAGTTACCAATTAATTTAGTTATGGTTAGCTCATGTTTCTTATTTTTCAAATGGATTCTGTCTTTAACCAAGTCTTCCCACGTGACCGCTGCCAACGCATTAAAACCCGACGACAGTGTGCTTTTATATGTACGGAATATTTCAATTATAATTATACTTACGCTTTAGCATGATTAGTTTAGCATGATCATTGTGTTTAATCTTAAAGTATGGCTACCCTCTCATTCTTGGAATCCCAATTAACGTTATGCCTTACCCTGGATTAATTTCATTCTATGGGTAATGTTACCCTAAACCAATTAGAATATGCTAGGTAACTATTTTAATATACTTTGATCTTTAGTTTACATCATCCGATGTTTACTCAACTTTGTTTGTAATTCTTGTTTTATACAAACTGTGAGTGAATAATGTGATGATATGATGCATATTACGGTAATTGGGTAACAATTATACCCTGAATTTGCTAATGAATGTATACCTGAGTGAACCGCTGAAAACACAGGCAACGAAGAGTCCGGGAAGTCCTGGATATTTGGAGAGTGTGTCCATTACAAAGTATGGCATCAATTGGTCGTGCCTTTCAATGAGACCTAAAGTGACAGGGTCACATGCGTGGTACTTGGCGTATATGACCATTCCACATAATATTGCCATTATTGCTAATATTATAAGCCCAGGTAAATTCCAATATAATGTTCTAGTACAATTAATATAATGCACTATAAATAAAATGAATGTAAAATGCTGTGCAAAATGAACGTTAATAATTCAAGGCATAAAAACCGTTTGGCCTTTTGATGTGATCCCATACTACAGTATCTCTGGACCTGTGTTTGTGTCACACAATAACAGGCACTCCATGTGACAGTTGTACCGGTCATTACATTCCAGAAATTATCATGATTATAAAGATCAAACTTCATGCTAATTAAGATTATTGTTTTATAATTAGATGTAATGTTATGCCAATAAATATCAATATAAATACTTAAAGAATTTCAGTCGTCCCCCACTCTCATTAATTTTCCAAAGTTGTGTCAGTCCTCCCACTTCTATTATACCCTTTATAATAATGATTTAATACTTAATTATAAGTACTTACAAATAATTTGAAAGATGTTTACTTGAACAATAACCATAATAACCCCCAAAAACATTAGAATGCATTGTAAAACATCGGTCCAAATAACTGCTTTAATTCCTCCCTTTATAATACAACTTAAATATAAAAAGTGAATAAAATGACACACATTCTTACAATTGACGTATAGAAAGTACATATGATTCCCACCACAAGAATAGATGTTGGAATAGAGAGAGGAGTAACTGATATGGTGTACAATTATTTAGTGTTTTGGTGAATAAAATGAATTTTGATATTTTAAAATTAAGTAAAAATTATTTGAAACCTGAACTGAGAGCGAGTGCCGGTCCATACAAAACAACTGCCATATAAGGTGTCTATCAAATAACTAACAATAAAATATTTTGTAAAAATGGAAAAACTTAATAAATACAGTGGTTAGAAGGAATCCAACGGTTCCGGCCAAACGCATATATTCTACACCAAATCTTTTTGCTAAATACTAAATAATATTAATTAATTTTAGATCAAATGATTGTTAACAATGTGTAATATCAGACCTCATTAACACTCAACAATCCAAGTCTATAATATATAGGCATAAAGACTTCTGCGGCCAAAAGTACTGCAATTGTGATGGAAAATATTTGAAGGGAGAATTGTGTTCCCACCTGATACACCTCAGCCGGTAGACCAAGCAATGTATTGGTCGACATAAAACTGGCCACTAATGAAAGGGTGACCGGGAAGAGACCCAACTGCCGATTCCCAGTAAGGAATTCCTCATTTGTAGCATTATTTCGAGATTTATACCAAAAGAATACTCCGATTAGAGAAGAACTTATTAATAGAAGACTAAACACTAAATAATCAATTATTGAAAAGTTTGTGTTTAACATTATTACTAATTTTAAGATGTAATATTAGTGTAGATTTTAATTTAATAAAATAATGTACTATGTTATTAATAACTTAATAATAATACAAATGAATTATAAGTCAACTGATCAAATAAAAAATTTACAGCAATTGAATAAATAAAATTTATATTCAAATATTGAGTTATTATTTATATTAATAAACACTTGCAAAAATAGACTAATAAATTGATAGAGTAGTTAATATCAATAGTTAAATAAATTGTTGCACTTATATTAAAACTCAATTGTGTTTAAATGTGTGAAGTATTTCTCATTTATATCGACTAATGAATGAAACGTGATTTAGCGTATAATATAATAATTAAAACTAGTTATTATAAATATAATCACAGCATACATGCAATAATTTTAAAAATTATTGAATGATATTTCACACCTTTTAAGAATCAATTTTATTAACATTTAGTGTTAACATTAAATGAATGATATGTTTTGGGTAATTTTCAAACAAATCAATTTATCGTGTGATTTAGTTAAGTATAAATGTATATGAATTACAATCCAATAATTAATGTAAATAAATGTTTTTTAAGATAATAAGTGGTATGTATTTTATAACTGTTAGCACAAGAGTCTAGCAGTTAAAACCAATATATTTTGACAATTATTAACAGTCAAATAATACCAACGATTTCTTATCACAAATTATCTAAATATTTATAATTAAGTATAAATTTAACAGAAATTATAAATAATTTTAAATAAAACATTTAAACTGAGAATGTGGTGACGAAATGGATATAGATCTCAAATAAGTACATTTTGAGTGTGAATTGGGAGAACATGGTATTGTTTTTTGAATCCGTCCCTCACTTAATGGTTAAATACAATTATTATTGCAAAACAATTGAAGAGCGTTTCTGGTCTTCAATGAATGATTGAGTATACATAAGAAGTCTGTGCCGTAATCTCATATTGCGAGCCCTCACGTGTTGGTTAACAATCTCTTCGGTGACATCTGAAGGGAACCATCCCTTCACACCATCTCTTATCCTTTGTCCCTCAAACCAACCTATAATCGTATAATCGAATAAATTATAATCATTTGTTGCATTCAAATACAATAAGGTTTGTATCGAACCATCTTTTATTTTCCTGCAAACATTCAAAACGTCGGTTTCTTCTAAACTGATTTCATCGGTTTGTTGTGCACAATAACTACGAATGCATTGAACTTGAGGGCAGTCTACAAATATTCAATTTTTATATTTAATAATTAATGATGACACAATTGTTGATGTTATATAAAGTAAATATATGTGACTTAATGAATACCCCACTCCTCGTAAATGATTTCATTCGGGTTTTCGGATGACGGCTGAGAGACCGCTTCAATCCAACGAAGTTTCTCACTTCTATTGAATGAACACATTTAATACATTTAATAAACAATTGCATAAAATTGGTTCAATATATGTAAAGTATACTCCAGGTTGAAATGAATGGTGTATTCGGCTGTCTTTGCCTCGTGATTGTGTAACAAAATAAGTTGCGCTAAGTTTTGATAATTATTAGGAATGGATATTCTAACGGCTCCGATCGGACCCATGCCTTCTCCGCTTGGACTCAACGATATAAGTTGTACTGTATTTCGAGAGCAGTAATCAAAAACGGCATAATTGCTTTCGCTGTTAAGAAAACATTGTGTTTAAAAAACTTGTCATTTTTGTTACAATCAATTATAAAACCTTTTTTTCTTCGCGAGAATTAATAGATCACTGAAAAGAAATAAATATATCGAAGATTTTGTCCATTTAGGAGTTGATTTGCCGATTGTCCTCTTGCCTGATATTGGAGCTGACAATTTAATAACGGCTCCACTTTTTACTACATATTCAAATATAGTGTTAATTTTTGTGTAATATATTCTCTATTATACAGTATGTAAATGCAATTCTTAATAATATTAAATACCTAAATATCGAGCGCCCGAAACAATTGGATAGCTTTTAATTTTGCTCTTAAATTGTAAGAGTTTTTCTATTTCTATTAATTCTTGCATTCTTTGAACTTTTTTGGTTTCTTCGTTACAACTTCTGACCAATTGATTAACAATTCCCAGCGCTTTCTGCGATGACTCCAGAATTGGACTGTTTTCTGGCAATTGTTGACAAACGGCGTCAATGAGTAGTGGATAACGAGTGATGCGCTGATTGTAGTGAATGAAAGGATTTATATGTTACAAATGTGTATCAATTATTGTTTATTTAAAGTGGAAACCAAACAAATGGTTGAATACCTGCATCGGAAGCATAAGGAATGAAAGTAATGTTTGGTTTTGACAGATTTGATTAGTTTCAAGGCGTTGGAGTACATCAAGGAATTGAGGTCTTGATTGTGTCAGACGTGTCAACAGTTTTTCCTGATCCCTCTGATAAGCGCAGTAACGAATGTATGGCTGGAAGTGATTGACGGCATAATCGCTTAATATATCGCAAACATCGTATAAAAGTATGTTTTGTTCAAAACGTTTCTCCAAATCTGACAGAAGACTAGAACTGGCTTTTGATATATCGGTTATATTAGAGAACAAACATTTTTTCTCTCTTACGCTTAATATTTGTTGATTATTATCACAAAATTCAATGCAATCATTAAAATGAGAAACCAATATATGAATACTTTTACAATAAGAGGCTTCAGATGTGATAATTTCAAACATAGATTCTTGTAATCGTTTTTCTTTGTCCGATAAAGTTGTCAGTAAATTGTCCTTAGAATGAATGACTTGAGGTAAATGACACCACAACGACCGGTTGGGTCCGTTCCCAACAAAATCCATGGCAGAAATATTTCGCTTATATAAAATTGATTTAATTCTATGAGCACTCAATTGGTTGCCATCAGACTCTGTATTTGTATCATATATTGAATTACTTTCGTAAATATCGTAATCAAAATCAGTTGTTTTTCGATCCAAATGAATCCAGAGTTCAGCTCTTCGGCGGACATCCTTCTGGTAGAACTGATATAAAGGTTCGCCATTAAAATTAGACGGATTACTATCGCAACTGGTATTGAATTCTAGATAACTGGCAATGTTTCCAGCATTTGAGTTGTCTTTTTGCATCATTTCTGCTCTAATTTGTGAAAACGGAATCAAATTTGATTCAAATGTATTCAACGAATTCATTGATTTGAGTTCATTGTTGTTATTATAATTAGTTTGACTATAATTAGGACTTATATATATGGATGAGTATCTGCTGGCCGTTGAATCCCTTCTTGTCTGTGAATTCTTATCTCTAATGACATCACAATTCGTCTCTTTTATTGAATTCAAATGAAATTCAAATTTTGGTGTTCTTTGAGGAGTAGACGTGTAAATGTTTGGCTCACATTCAATACTATTATCATTGTATATCTCAAGTCCTTTATCCGTATTGTGTTTATCAATGAATCTATTGGACAACTCGCGGACTAATTTGCTTTTGATATCAAAAGGCTTTTGCTCTTTCTGTTGACGAATGTCTTCACAGTCGGTCATCGCTTCGTAGATGTGATGACTTAAGCGCTGTTCAAGTGATGGCAAACAATTTGGTTGACATTTCAATTCTGGATTTAATGCTGACTTCAGAATCGTGTCGTGATTTTCTTCCTCGTCGTCGATATCTTCATATTCAGTGGCGGAAGCGCTTCCGTCACTCATCACTAACTTTGGTAATGACATTCTTCTATGACTTTTCCGTTTGTTAGGCTTTGGTTTAATAGATTTGCGGACATGAATGCTCGGCGGTCGCAAATGTTGCCTTTTGGGCACAATTACAGCCTCTTTTTCATCGTTTTCAATGTCAATCCACTCGTTAGAAAACGCTGTCTTAAAATTACCCAATTCTTCGTATATGTGTTCATCGAGTTCTTCATTTTTTGTCTCATTTCCTTTTATATCTTTCGATACATTAATTGGTTTAGGTTTATGTCTATCGTTAGCATTGGTGCGGCCTTTGGGTGAATGATGTAAAAATGATGAGTTGTTATGGAAAACATCAGAAATACCGCTGTCTTGGCTTATAGACGACGATCTCTTAGCGTCCACTTTCTGTGAATCCAAATTATCAGCTTTTTTCGCTTCATTAGAAGATTTTTGGTCATAAAAGGTTTCCAATTCTTTGTCTACACTTCCAATGTCTTCGCAATCATTTTTAATTGCAATTGAAGTCCTTTGTTTGGGAATGGGTTTGGTTTTGCAGTTTTGTGTGACATTGAGTTCAGGTCTACGAAAAACAACTTCCGGTTCGGTATCGAAAGTGACAAAATCTGAAGTCTGAGACGTCGACCGCAATAAATCTCTGGGATTGAGGAATGAATTATGCGATTCACTGTCGGATTGATTCAAATCATTACTATTGATGACAGAATCTAATTGCAAACAAACAATTTGAGCGCTCAATGACTCCTCTAAGACCTGTTTATCTGAATTGGAGACGCGATTGCTTTGGTTTATATCATTGTTTCCATAGTTAACTAAAGAACTGTTCGACAATGTATTCATCAACTCTTTGTGTTCATATTTGTCAGCGTTTGGATCCTTTGAATTGCAATTCTTTAACTGTATTTTTTGCAATGGATTTCTTTCTTCAAAGAAACTAATTTTATTTTTAACTGACGACACATTTATAATACTTCGAGGTCTGCATTTTTGAGTCAATGAAATTGTATCGCTTTTTAAATGATTGTTATTCGCCGACAATTCATGACTTCTTTCAACACTTTTATTGGCTAAATATAATTTATTTGAATCGTTGGATGACTTGAGCTGTGATCTGACAACAGTTTTACTATCACTTTCTTTAATCACATCAAGAGATTCATGTATTGAGTCATATTTAGATTGAATGCAATGGTGAGGCAAATGCTTATCTCTGGTTTTATATAAGTCGCTCACTTCTGCTTTGTTCACACATTTGTTTGTTTCATCAATTTTTGAGTTATTTTCAAATTGTTGTCTCACTTTTTGAAAACTTGGTTTTCGGCGAATACTTGTTTTCGGAACTCCACTAGATTTTGATCGAAAGGCTCTCGCTTTAAGAGATGTCTCCATTACTTTGAACACCAAATTTAATATTAATATTAAATAATTTATTAATATTCATATAATTTATATTAAACGACACATACGATAGAAATTCTGATACATTTGTATTGCAATTTAATCACACAATAGTCTATTATTGAACACTTTTGTAAGTATTCAGTTGTTTCGCCGACGCATTCATTGTAACCAAAGACACAATAACTGATAACTAAATTGATAACAAAATAATGATTACTTTATTGGACTAGTGCTTATGTATTTTCATAATTTATTGCATATTCTCGGAAAATGTATTTTCAAAGTTATCGTCAATTACAAAGACATTATTCGCTTGAATACAAAGTTAGCTTTAGTTGTATTGTTATATGACATACAGTATAACAATATAAAGTAAAAGCACATTATTGTAATTTGAGATTTACTGCATAATAAACTGATTACAATTTCATATAAAATATATAGAACTTATTTATCACAAAATTCAAAACAAATAATTTATTTTATAAATTGCTGTCAAATTAATCTCATGAAAAATTAAGCCCTTTTAGGGATATATTAGAATAACAATTTTCTTTCGAGTAACTCAATATGTAATTCATTTTATTCATTATTTTAAATCAAAATTATTAATAATTTATCAAAAAATACAATAAAATAATTTAATAAAATGAAAGAATGCACATGGTAGAATTTCAATTGATTACTTGTGTTGCATTATTAAATAAAATTGTTTGGCTAAAGCTATAGACAAAGGGATGGGAACAGCGTTACCAATTTGCCTGTATTTGTCAATAACAGATCCGCACAAAATAAAATGATCGGGAAATCCTTGAGAACGGGCCGACTCTCTGACAGAAATAATCCTATTCTGGTTGGGATGAAGAACTCGTCCCTGTTTTGAAATGGGCTGTGGATTGGTTACAGTGGTTGGGAAATAACCATTAAGTGCGAGCCGACCGTAAAGACCTGACCATTGATACTGTCTGTTAGCCGTATGGACTAAACACCACGGAATTAAAGTATTCTTTTGCTTCATATCTACTTCTTTGGAATTACAGTCCAATCCTTGAGCGCATTGACAGACACCCCGTAATTCACCTAAACTTGAGTTTCCGTTCTTCAAGTCTTTGTGAGTATATTTGAGTTTCTCGACAATTGTTCCGTCAGATAGTGTACAGCATATGTTTGGCAGATCTGAAATGGTAACATCAATTACATTTCATATAACAAGCAAAATATGGTCAAAATGTCAAACCTCTCCAATCACTGCCTAACCGGTGAGGAATATGTCTTATTCTAAGTTGAGTTAATTCACTCATTTCTCTACAGAAATGATCGTTAAGACAATTTTCATCGACATTTTGTTTCAAAATCATCTGATAATGTGATATCCTATGGGAGGCATCGTATGGAACAACTCTATGGATGGCGTAATCTTCAGTCAAATGTGGCAAATCAGAGATCGCGTCGGCGACAGTCAATGCTCTGAATTGAGCCAAATGTGTATTATTTAAAGCCATGTATTTCTTATTGTCAACAGTGATAGAGAGTTGACATTGTCTTCTGGAGAACACATGAGTTGGTTCCGGATATTTAGGCAATGGATTGCCAGAAGAAGAGCCTATTATTATAGTACGTCTTCTGGTTTGTGGCAAACCATATAAACCGGACTGAAGTATCGCAAACTGGCACTGATAGCCCATTCCGACCAGACATGACATCATTAACTTCAAAATCATTGAGTTCTTAAAGAGCGCAAAATTGCGAACGTTTTCAAACAATAGATATTTTGGTCGATAGTAATCAACAAAACTTAAGAACGAAACAATCAATGAGTTCTTGAAATGAGAATAATTACACGAAGAAAACCTGTTCATACCGGAGAAGCCCTGACAGGGAGGGCCCCCTAATATCATATCAATGTCTCCCTTTTGAGGGAATACTTGTCCGCTTTGATCACATTTAACACCTTTCAAGAGTAGATCCAAAAAGTGATTGACATCTTCGTGAAAAACAGTTGAACAATTAAAATTAGTTTTGTATGACTTAAGAGCTGACTCGTCCTTATCTATGGCCCACAGTTTGGAAACTAACCCCAATTTATGAAAACCGTAGGAAAGGCCTCCACAACCACTGAATAAATCTAAAACATTGAGTTTCTTACAGCAACTCATTTGCTTATCATGTGTTTTAAAAGAGAATTTACTAATAATCTGATCATTCGGTTGAGAAGAAACTTTACTTTCAAAATCAAAACACTGATTAAAATAAAAAAGTTTTGTTTGAATATAAAAATCAGTTTTAAGAGATTGTGGACTAAATACAACATCACATTTGCCTCTAATAGTGTCCACACAAACAATAGTTTGCCTATTATTCCAAAAGAGAACATTTAGATCCGAGTACTGGAAATCATTATAATCTTGGTATACATTTTGTGGTCTATAAAACATGTTAACTAATAGTTTGGATTCTTCTATGGAATCGTCTTTGTTTCTAAAGATTTCAACAATAAATCCAATGCTTAAAGTGTTTGGCAAATCATTATTACATCCTTTGATATAATCAGTAAAAGCTTTTCGATATTTCTCAGGATATAAACTTTGGTCATAGTGTTCCTCATCAGTGGTTATAAGTGATGAATGTTGTAAATAATCGCATTTAAAATGCAATGAATCGCTGGTAAAGAGGGCGCAATCGCCTATCAAATAGCTTTCATTTTCAATCGTTAATTTTCTATACTTTCTTAAACATGAATTGACGTCACATTCAATCTCTTGGTCTAGTTTTGGCAATTTCTTGTTTTCAATGCACTTTTTAGTCCAACAATTAATGCATTTAATCTCTGGATCACATATTTCTTGCGGCAGATCCTCAAAACGACCCGATTTCTCAATATATAATTTGTTGCAAATATATTGTTCACAATTTAAATCATTAGAAATAGAGTCCATTTTGTAATTAAACAAAACATTCATTTTGTCAGACAGTTTCTCAATGGATATATTTTTGCATTCATTTGTCATAAAAACCAAATTATGGGCTGAGGTTTCGGCAAGAATTGTCTCATTTCCATAACTATTGATAAAATTAAAATTAATTTATTTATTTTCATAAAACTGAATGTCAATTGATTACCATAAGTAGTGAATGTGACACAACTTTTGTTTATCACAAGAGCTAAACAGAAACATAATTCGTCCAAATCTTAACGAACTTTCGTTTTCCTCGAAGACAACGACATCTCCTAAAGAATACTTCAAACCCAAAATCAGTTTCAATGAAATTAATTTATATGATAAAAACCTTTTGCTGATCCACTCTAACAGTGGTGTAGTATAGGGTTGAGGTATAGCTGTCCTCATGAACCGCGTCTCCAATCCAAACCACTTTTGGATGTGAAGACATATTGGCCCTCGTTTTAGGAATTCTCACATTAGAAACGGTTTGCAATTTATTCAATGAGTTTGTCTTTGAATTGCATTCAATCACATCTTTGAATATCTTATTAAACAAATCAGTCACAAGAGGTGTACTAAAGGTCAGAGTATCGCTGTTTGCGGCTCTTCTGGCGTCAACTCTAGCGATGGGTCGGATATGGGATATGCTTTTGGACAATGATTTGTCTTCATTGTCCACTCCCGACATCTGCACTAATGTCTGAATGGCTGGCGTTTCAAAGAGTGTCATCTCGTCGTCTTCGGCCGCGGAGTCAAAGCTCTTAATTTGTTCGCTAATGAATGGCGCGAATTGTAATAATAATTCCTCTGAAAAGTGTTGAGATCTTTCCTCAAGACTTTCGACTAAGTCTTCATAACTAGAATCAGGAGTTTTAAGCAAAGACTCGATCACTAGTTTCGTTAAATACATGTTTTGCGTACTTCTGGTGAACAATGATTTGAATCGAGGATTGGGTTCACTCAAGACATACGAAGCGAATTCACTCTCACAACCGATCATGAGTTGAGAGCCGCCGTCGAAGCCGGCGAACCACCACTCCTGCAGAGGACCTGATATAACACAATCATAACGGCATTCAATTACTCATCAATTGCTCACTAATTGGCAAACAATTCATTCAATAGATTCCTAACCAATCATTTGAGTGACAAATCTGTCATTTGAATCGGTGTCCAAATGTGAGACAATTGGTGCCACAAAACCACACAAAAAGAGTTCATCGATTGGTCTCGAGTCGAGCCAACAATGTGTGCCATCGGAGTCATGGATAGCGAAGTTGTGGATCCGATGCTGAGGTCGTTCATCGGCGGTCCAACCGGTGCCGCAATCATAGAGATTAGTGAGTATTGGATTGGTTAAGACAACCGCCTCTTCGGCCTCGGGATCGAGTGTTGCACACGTTTCACACGTCATCTCTCGCTCCTTACGACCACTTGTCTTCACTCTCTTACACGACTTCATTGGAAGTGATGGAGTGATCACTCAGTCATGTCAACAGTTGTATAACTTATATAACTCTATGTTTAGTGTTGTATAGAGTGTTGTGTTGTGTTGTGTCACAACTTGTGTGCATTGATTGGCGCCAAACACTCCAAACACACATCAATACTGAGTCCATCACAAGAGGTCGCAAACACTCATCCATCCATTACTAAAGTATTGAATATTATGTGATAACATCAGTCTTAAAGTTTCTATAAAAGTTACTTAAAAATGGTTGAAAAGGTGCTCAAAAGTTATTAAAAGTATTTGTCATCAAAATAATGGCCTCAAATCAGGGATACAATCAATTTTTAACCACAATTCTAGGATAGCTATCAAATTGTTGAATAATGTACGAATCCAACTAAATATTTAGTCAAATATTCAATATCATTTAAACATGCATACCTCTATGAGAGAGAGAGAGAGAGAGAGAGAGAGAGAGAGAGAGAGAGAGAGAGAGAGAGAGNCCAATGAAAGTTAAATCAAAATGGTTTTTCAATAGTGTTTCCCTTTTGGGTTGAGTTTGTCTGTTGAAAGTGCCGAGAGAGAGAGAGAGAGAGAGAGAGAGAGAGATTATAGTATTGATATGTGTTAAGAAAAGGATAAAGAAAAAGATTAGGCATTGAACTAATTATAATATGATATGCTTTTATATTGAATAATATTGATTACTTTCATCGCATATGTATTTAAATGAAGTCATTTTTATGAATGGTGGTAATCTTAATTTTTGCATCAGTTCTAATTGGCATATAAAATGTAAACCACTGAATATAATGAATGTTATAAATGAAATAAAATATTGTGTTAATTGTTGTAAAATAATGTAGAGTATAGTAAACTATAAAATATGATTATAAATAAGTGATAAATATAGTGAAGAATTGATGGATTTGCCGACATCTTCAATACAAACCGGTCTCCAAACTAATGACCACTAATAGTATACTGACTGACATGTGGTGTCATTAGACTAAAAATCAGTGACTTTTTGAAAAAATATTTGTATTGCTTTTGAAACAAAGACAAGAATACAGTGAACTTATAGAAGATTGGCTTTTCTTAAAAGAGTTATTCAAACATCAATACCACTGAACCACATCTCATAGCAATTGTATAACTTTTTCAATGCAGTCGACAATTTGTATATAATTTGTAAAATGAATTCATTCAAGATTATAAAATTTGTTTTAATTATATTTGTAGTTATCAAATGTGTGGTAAGCGTTAAATGCCTGTATCTTATTACAATTGTAATAGTAATTAATAATACAATCAATATAATTGACAACAGAAAAGCAATTCAGTGACGATTAAAAACTTTGGATCAAAACTGATATCATGTCAGTGTTCCTCGAGAGACGATAAACTCGAATATAAGAACTTAAACTTAACACAAGAATATAAGTTTAAGTTTTGGTCAAACATTTGGGGCACAACTCTGTTCTGGTGTACTATCGGCTACTTTACAGAAGATAAAACGTTTGTCGCCTACGGAGCCAATCGTAAGGAAAGCCATAATGTCTATGTAATTGACACGACGGGTATTGTCTATTATAACACTAATGAATATTTGCATTTTTGGACCAATCAAAATGGTATATAAATTATTTTTTAAATTCTGTGATTACTTTTATAAACTAAATGTTTTGACAATAAAAATAATATTTATAAAACATAAACACGTTTATGTATTTTTAATTGGTATGAATTATTTAAATTAAATTCATGTGATTTAAATTATAATACATTGAAAATATATTGCTAACTACAATAAGTTAATGTTGTTATGTTATTAATTTGTTTACGGACAATACTTATATAGTATTGCATAGACTACAGAACTGGTAAAGAATCTACTAAATGCTCAATACAATGTCACCATACGGGTATACTTTATAATGTATAGATATACATTATATTAAGCTTATTTAAACAATAATAGATTAAAAAGTTCTAAATAACAATAAATTGAATTACATGATGTTTAATGAACTAAATGTTTAAAACTCAAAAATTTAATTTACGATTTGTTATAAACACAAAATTTTTATTTAAAAATTGTGTGTAAAATAAATGCCAGATTTGGTAACCAATCATTTGAAGGTTCAAAACAGGAAAACAAGTTTTTAGTTTTGTATAATTTTATATACAAAATATTTTTAAATCAATAATATTTGTTTATTATAATAATAATATTTATTATTGGATATAATAATTATTAAAGATTAAAATTTTGATATGTGTTTAACCAATGGATATATCATTATGTAAATTAGATCATTGACTGTGCGATTAATGTAAAAGTATTTACAAATTTTAATTTAATTTTCATATCAATGCACTTCTTATCAAATATTATTTGCAAGATATGAGACGAGTTAATGACTGACTTTTTGATAATCATTAACAAATATAAAGTATAAAATTTTGTCAATCCATACAAATATACATCAAATGATACATTGAATCTCAGAATTCATTGTCTGTAATATCATCTCATTTACTATAGAAGATGAGGTTAACGGCAATCCTATTGACTAAACGTAAGTTAGATGTTGTAGTGTTGGGCGCCACTGGTTTTACGGGTCGGTATGTAACTCAAGAGTTGGCCAAATGTGTGACCAGACAGAGTGCGAGCGCACCGATTGTGTGGGCCATTGCCGGCAGAAACAAAGACAAACTCTCCAAAGTGTTGAGTGAGATATCATTTGAAAACAAAAGTGATTTGTCAAAAATATCAGTCATTGAAGTGGATATCAATGATAGAAACTCTTTGCTCAAAATGTGTGATGAGAGTCACCTGATAGTGAACTGTTGCGGTCCATATCGTTTGCTGGGGGAACAAGTGGTGAGCGCTTGCATTACCAGTGGCTGTCATCACATCGATGTGAGCGGCGAACCACAGTTTCTGGAGACTATTCAACACAAATATCACAAACAAGCAATTGATGCCAAAGTGTCAATCATTGGTTCCTGTGGTTTCGATTCAGTTCCTTCTGATATTGGCGTCCAGTTCCTGAAGAACCGATTTGATGGAACTCTTAACTCAGTAGAGACTTACCTTCGGGTGACCACAACCAGTGATACCCGAGTAACGTATAACTTCGCCACTTGGCATTCATTGGTCTACGGGTATGGCTTTCGGCACCAATTGGCACAACTCAGACGACAACTCTATTCAAACCTATTTAAGTCTTATAAATGGAAATATGTCACAAAAAGGAAGACATTATCACGTAATTCATTGGGTTATTGCGTCCCCTTTCCAGGCAGTGATCGATCAGTTATATCGAGGACTCAATTATATAATTACACGAATTCAGATGAAAGACCCGTTCAAATCGAAACATATTTCACAGTCACCTCATTGGGACCATTAATTGCTCTGATATTTGTGAACTTAGGGGTCAGTTTGTTGGCTCCCTATTCAATGGGACGACAATTGTTGATGAAATATCCGCATATATTCTCTTTCGGCACTTTCAACAGACAAACTCAACCCAAAAGGGAAACACTATTGAAAAACCATTTTGATTTAACTTTCATTGGAAAGGGTTGGTCACAGAAATACAGTGATTCACGTTTTCAGCCATCACTACTTCCCGACAAAACAATGACTGCGCGAATATGTGGTGGAGATTTGGCTTATTTGGACACTTCTATTATTGTCACACAAATATCTCTTACAATATTAGATCTGATGAAAGAACAGAAACTCAAGTTTGGAGTCTTGACGCCAGCCGTTGCCTTTGCAGACACTTCTCTCATTGAAAAACTCAATAACAATGGAATCAAGTTTGAGATAATGCAACACAAATGACAGTTTATTGATCACAAAATTAAATGATTTACATCAAAGCGATGCTTAGTTTTTCTTTAATTTCTTCATAAGGTTCACCTGTTCTATGGCCGCTCTTCGCTTACGCTGTCATTAAATAAAAGCAAACCATTACTTAAATTATAAACACAATAATAAGCTTATAAATGCATACGTTTGGAGTTCCGGGTCCTGTTCCCAGATCTATCACTTCAGAGATCTTTTTAGGAGAGCCATCGGTATTGGCTTCGAGAGGAGTGGCAGGCAATAGAGTAGTGGGGATATCGAGAGTTTTGCCCGGTTGTGAGGCCTCGTATTGATGTTTCAGTGATTGCAACTCATACTCACAGTTGGCTAAAGCCATCTTAAGCTCATAGAGTAACACCATATCACTCCTGAGTTCGTTGAAGTGTTGACAAATGTCTTCGGTTGGCATCGGATGTAAATCAATGCTAAGTTCATTGAGAAGTTGTTCGATTGCTTTAGTCTTTTTCTGACCGACAGCTGCGGGAAGTTTCATGCGTTGACTGCGAAGACTAGCGCCCGAAGCCTTAATTTCGGGAAATTTAATTCCCGCGCTCTCTATATTGGGTGCGGCGGAAGTGGTAGTAATAGATTCGCGACCACTTCTCTGCAAGTGTGTGGCCTTCTTCCTGCCCGGCCTATTGCCAGTCCTCACCTGTGCGTCCACTTTGCGGGCCTCGACTGAAGTGTCGGCCGCAGTAATCAGTTTCTGTAAGTCTTGTGTTTTCTTCTCCCTTTCCTTTTTCCTCATTTCAATTTTCCTCAACTCATTCAACAGTTGCTGTTCTTCTTCTACTTCTTCAGGGGTTCTGTTGTAGAGTTTGATTAACTGTTCTTTGCGTCTGCGCTCGTGTTCGGCGTCAAACACCTTCACTTTGGGCTCCTGTCCCGGAAGGGCCCGTACTTTAGCCAAAATGTTGCACACATTATAATAACGGTCTTTAAGGTCTTCCATGGATCGAGCGGTGAATGTCTTTGTGTCCCATCGATCATGAATTATGACAAATCTCTGGTCAAACCTTCGGCACAAATCAAAGAGATGGTCTGTTTCTGATTTGGTCCACAAATCACATGACAATAATTGTTGATATTCTGAATCACTATAAGATGGCATTTCAATTACCTTAACGTAAATACCAATCAATTATTAATTCAATAACAATATGACAATCAGTCATATATAAGACAAATCAATCATTTCATACAGTATTGAGTCGAGCGAAGGGATACTCTTTGTTTTTGTCCACTTCTCGTCGCCAATGGTTTAACTCAATCTTCTCCTAAATAGTCATTCAAATCATTTAAACTGATGTTAATATCAATTGCTTTTATTGTTCATACCTTCGGACTAAATGGTGTCCAAATCCATGGCCGCACTCTCTTGAGGCCGAGTTTAGCCTTAATTTGTTTGTATCCAATCATTGATTTGTTCTGAAAGCCTATATCTGTGGGAATCAGCGATGGATTGTCTCTAAGAGAGCGATAGAGTAAGTGATGGCAATCAATGGTCTCATTCAAAGACATACTTATTGTCGGCATATAATAAGGCGTATAATTCTCTGTGCATTCCTTCGGGACGTTTGAACGTCAGATCCGATACTCTCTTCCTCTTCGGCTAAACACCATTCAAATGGATTTCATTAATCATTATTACATATCATCACAACTATTACACAATACATACCTTCTTGTTGTCATTCAACACATCACTGGAGCCGTTCTCGCGCTCGAACTCAAGAATGTCCAACACATCCGCCATTTGATCACTGAATCACTGAATGAACGCAACTATTGCTTGATTTCAATTCAAATCACAAACAATTCAAACAATTGATACGATTTCACACTCTTTTCATAAACACAACGATTATTACAATACAAACATAAACGACGTCTTCATTGTTAACGCCTTTCAAACTGTATTCACTTCTTTGCAAAACATTATGTATTGAATGACATGGAGTTCGGCAGTGAAACTCAATTTACAACTTTCTAATTGATTAACATTTTCATTAATAGTAAGCTTTGAATTAAATTAATATCTGAATCCTATTAACTTATTTGTCAACATTTTTGTTCGACATCACGCATTACTCATGCATTAAACATTTACCCCATCATGATTTAAAGGACCATGGTGATGAACCATAGTGATGGTGGTGGTGTGCAGTAATATTTAAACCTGGCTCGGGAGCTAAACTTATTCAATTAGATTTATTCGATTAGTTTTATTACATTTAATATTATAATACAAAATACATCTTTAATTTATAATTGAATCAAAAATATTAATTTCAGTATAAAATGGTTTAAAGATATATGAGTTAAATAGAAATCATTGAATCAATGGTTTGTGAAGGGATTTGTTTTGTCTGTTCTTAAGTTCAGCGATAATATCGGGACTGAAGGAAGACTTTGTCAAAAGTTTTGTCGTTCTGTCAGTTAAACCGTTTTCATGACTTTGTGTGGAGTTTTGCAAAAGAGTTGTCGATTCTATGGCTTCTATGGCTTCTTCATCGATGGACTTGGATTGTCGTGAAAGCGGTTCTGAGGAGAGGGGGAAGGGGTGAGAGGGCGGTGGAGATGAGAGGGGTTGAGTGACGTCTTCAATTCGCTTGGAAAACATGGATAAAGTTTTGTTAATTGTCTCTTTGAACTGATCATCAAAAACATGAACAATAGTTTGGGTGCTATTGATGTCATTGTTGTCTTCAGCTTCACTGTCCAAACTTGACTGCAATTCTTGTATATATTTGGACTTTCGAGTGGATCTCCTAATATGAGACCTTCGGGGCCGCGATTTGTTCATATGTGTCAATGGATTCACTCTTAAGTGACTAAAAGAGTCTTCACTTTGAACACTGTTTTCAATACAATTTTCATCACATATTTTTGATTCAGATTCAGGCGTTGATAATACTTTTTCTCCTTCTTCTCCATCTTCTTCTCCTTCGTGTGGATCACAAACAGATTTATGGGAAAAGTTGTTCTCAGGAGAGATGTGACAATTGTTTGGGTTTACGTTCACAACAACACATTCAGCTATATTTGAATCGCATTTATTGTTAAACAAACGATTGGTTTTGAATTTTCTAATAACACAACTTATTATTACAGATAATATGGTTATGAATGAAGCGGTGGTTAAGAATAGAAATAAATCCATTTCTGTCTTCACATGGATTTGATTAATGAATAAAAGAGTAGCAGAAGTGCTATTTCTGGTTCAAACAAAGTTTACTGTAATTAATATGAAACAAAAGTTTTGGTCAATTAAACTTCAAAAATGTGTTTTTTGTTGACAGACAGACTGAGATAGACAGCAAACTTATGCCTTATTTAACAATCAGAGCGATTCATAACTGGAACATAAGTCTCACTAATTATTATTTACTTATGAAAAGATTGGCTCAAACTTTCAATTAGTTTTAGTTTGAGATATAAATTAAATTAAAATGTTTTTACATTTATAGTTATATTTGAATTGATACTATAAAATGTTTGGTAAATAATTTTGATATACACCTCAAACGTCTCGGGGAAACGTATTGATGAGATTCTGTTGATTAGATTTTGCTGTCATGACTATAAGTAGAATTACTACAATTGAACTTTTTATGAAAGCAAACATATTTATTCTCTATATTAGTGATGATATGATTAACACAATTGCTATGTAGTCATAAATAAGTTTACTTTAGTTATTACACAACAAAACTACATTAATGATTAGGTGATATTTGCAATTACTATTACTATTTAATTTTAAATAGTAAAATTCTACATATAGTCTTCAATACTATAAAAAATATTTATCTCTACATAAGTTTGATGCGTTAAAACAATTATTATATAACTTATAGGAAATACATATGTAATATTAGTTGTAAGGAAATATGACTCAACTTTATGTTCAAATTTTAATTATAATTCAACTAATACAATATACAATAATGTACAATAATTTAATACAATTAATACTGTATATTATATTTATATAAATTACAATAATATGCTTTTAGTTAATATTAATTAATAGTATTAACTAAATTTAAATATTCATATAATAATACTAGATATTTATTTGCATTTTTCTATATTATTACACAATTTCTAATATTCTGTAGGCATCTAAAATATGGTACACTTATTTATGGAAAAATTAGTAAAAATAAGGCAATTCTTCATGAGTTATAAGAAGTTGTAACTTATATTTCAATAAATTCGCTTCAATTTTCTAAAATTAATTAAATGCATTTTAATTAATTTACAAACATATTTGACATTTTGTGTAACATATGTGTAAAAGTTGAATAAAAGTTTCATTTTGTTAACTGATTTCAAAGATGAAGGATTCAATGATGGTCGGACTCTTCTTCGTTTTCATCTCTTCGTCAATATGTTTAGGTAATGTCAAACTCCTGTATCACAAAATCATACATATAATAAACTGTCCAATAGCTGAAACACCTAAACCTCTGGATGCAATCAATTTGCTGGCTGAGTGCGGAAGTCTCTGCTGGGCACAGGACAAGAATAACACCAACCCCGACAATATCAACGTGGACCCCGAATTGTTTGATGAAAGTGTATGCAAATGTATGCAGGTCTGCTTTGCGTCGAAAGCTAAAAAAGTGGACCATGAGGTGAAACTTTCACCAGGACAGGTACAAAAGATCAAAGTGTCGGCCTATTGTGGACACATTTGCTATCCTAAGGATAAGCAGTGCTTTAGTAAGAAGTCTTTGGATTACTGTTATGCCGGATGTTTGGGAACTATACTCCAGCCTAGACTCAAAGCGCAACAGCAGTTGGCCCAAAACAATAACCAGACTCACGGACCAAATCAGCCCCAGGGTTAGCGTACAAACAATAATTGTACACATTCTGCGAAATTTGTATTATTCAATAAATATGAAATAAATGAGTTATAATAAAGAGTAATTTTATTACAAACATAACTTTCCCAAATATTGATTGTAAAATGAACCCAAATATAAAATGGTTTGGTTTTGACGAATAACTTCATTGACTTGAGATAACAAAGTTATGGCTCCTTCGGGAGAGTGAATGCTTTGGACAACAGCTCCCCTTTCGTTCATTTCAAACGCCATTCCATGCGATTGTTTTAACAGTTTGTTTATAAGTAAATCACTTAAACCTGTTTTGACAGAAAATCCCAAATTTGTCAAATATAAACTATTTAATAAAATTCCTATCGATTGCACTATATTTCCAAATAAGTGTAAACTTCTAAACCATAGTTTTTTCATCCAAGGCTTATCTTCAATTGAATCAATAATTAATGGATTTTGTTGAGTGCGAGCACTGGTTATTGCTATCCAATAAGTATTGCGAGTAGTTTTACGAATATTGTCGGGTTCTCCCGGCAAACCACTAATTAATTGCAACGTTAAACCTTGTTTTGGACCTTTAATATAATGCTTGCTAATTCTTCGCGGTAATGTCTCAGCAAACAAAATATATTCTTTGTTTTCGCTTAACTCAATGCCATTCGGACACAAAATATGATCTAAAACAATTTCTAACTTCTTAGCGGACACATCATATCTTAATATACGTCCTGTTTGTGAAGCACCGATCGCTAGCATATACTGAGATAAATCAAATTTGGTACTGAATTCTGTGATGTAAAGTACATGTCCGCCGTTGTGACCACTGTTTTCGTCTATTACTAGATCATCAAAAAACGTGGATTCTTTGCCGAGAATTGCTGTGTTTTTGTAGGAGAGTATTGGTTCAGACGTCGGCTCATCTGTCATTATATTGTTTATGACAAATATACCAAAATAGGGTTCCGCCACATATAGAGCTCCTTTTGAGTCAAATCTCATGCCGAGGGGTTGACTGCAAGCGCTTTGATTCCATGTCTCACATGTTTTATTAATTATTTTAATGATGGGAACCAATCGATTGTTTTGTTCGTCTATTCGATAGATATATCCATCTCTAGAACTCGTGAATATAGTTTCGTTAAACACGGCTATAGATTCTGGACCTTTGATTCGACTTTCAAATAGTTTTTCACTTTTCGATAAAATATAATTTTCTTTAAATGAACCGCAATATGATTTTGGGAGCGAAAAACTATTGGATAGAAATATGTCACCATTTAAACGTTCATTTAAATATTACACTATTTTACATTTTATTAATAGCGATCAAAATTAAATGTTAATAATTTACAATTCTAACTGTAAGTAAATTGTTTATTAATCGTTAATAGTTTATTTGTATAGTATTTTTCAGCACAATTCAGATATGAATGTGGTTCGGATCGTTCGGCTCCCCTCCCCCGCCCAACCCTACGGGAGTTAACATGGGTAATGCTAATCATATGGAGCATTTTCCATAGACTTTTATGTTATTCTATGGGTAATGTAACATTACTAATGTTAATCCGACGGGATAGTTTTTCCTATGGGAAATCAAAATATAAAGGGAAAGAGTCGTTTTTTCAATACTAATCCTATGGGACTAATGTTAAGTCTATGGAAGAATGTTTTAACATGGGTTTAATACGATGACAACTTAAGTCTACGACATAGGTTCAACATGGGCAATGTTAAGTCTATGGGAGGAATGCTTATTCAATGGATAATGTTATTACAAACGGGACTAATGCTAATCCTATGGACAATCCTATGGACAATGATATCACTATGGGATTAATTCGAGCAAATGTATTTCAAGCAAGTGTCTTTCGAGTGAGTGTCTGGCTCCATGTTACAGTATAGTCATAGGATTAACATAGGATCCCATATTAAATCCCATAGGGTGAGAGGAGGGAGAGTGAATAAGTTGCGCCGATCCTATAAACCACATTTTTCATATATGAATAATTCATATAATTTACAATAAATGTAATTATTATTGTGGTTAAAAATACCATTTTGGTAATAAGTATTAACAGTGTATTAATTACTTATAAATGTTCTTAAAACTCACAAATCTAAGGATTTTAACGAATTGGTCTTTAAAATTATTTGAATCAATTAAAATGATAAAAATATAATTATTTTGTCATTTAATATTGTGTTAGTATTGCAATATATGTATTGTGTAATTAATAATTACTAATTATCACGAATAAAATGTATTGAACGAGAACTCACTTCAAACTTTGTGGTTCAATGTCTAAAAGAATTCCCGGCGGAGAAAACAAGATTACAAGAATATAAATTATACACAATATTATAAAACTAATTAATGATACCATAAATATCAAAATCTTGGACATAATTAATTAGTTGTATTAGTTTTAAACATTAATTTTAAAAACTTCCTTGTCTGTTTACCATTTTTCACTTGTGATATCAATGGATGAATGTTATGTGGTATTGAAGTTTCCTAAACTCGAAATACTTGTTTTTCAATATTACCAATTTGTTACATCTTATACAAGGTGTGCATTAATTAAAGCAAAAAAGTTAAGATGTTATCAATAACTATTATATTAAAATATTATTTAACGGCTATTTATAGAATAATGAACACAAATGATAAAATTCAGAAAAATGATCCCAATGAAAAAATGGAAAATAGCTCCACATAAGAGTAAACTGTATTAGAGTTATACAATTACTTTATTACTGATAAATGCTTCATTAGACGCGGCATTTGACAATAATTAGATAATTACTAATATGGGGTTAAAATAATATTTAATAGATTCAATGATTCAATACAAATAACAACATTATTCGTTACAATCGCTTGAAAAATAATTTTGAGATAAATATTGAACAAAATTATGATATGAAAAGTAATCTCTTTCTTCTGCCAAAAGTCTGTTCAATCGCTCTCTTTTATCGGTTTGGCTCTCAATCACTTCAATCACTTCCAGTTCTTCATTTGGGTTTTGGTCACCAATTTGGTCATCACTTGAATATTCAATCGTTTGGTTAAACGAATGCAAAGGACTGAGAGCTCTCTTTTATCGGTTTGGCTCTCAATCACTTCAATCACTTCCAGTTCTTCATTTGGGTTTTGGTCACCAATTTGGTCATCACTTGAATATTCAATCGTTTGGTTAAACGAATGCAAAGGACTGAGAGTTTTATTTAGATTTTTGGTGAAAGCATTTGATTCTAACATTTCTTGCTCTAAAAGATGTCTTAAATTCGATCCGGAATTTGAAGTGTGTTTCGGTTCATTGGAACCAATTTCTGGCATCTCTTCGCGTCTCATTCTTTTGGGTGAAATCTTCACTTCTGAGTCCAAACATGAAAATGAATACTCAATTTCACTCAAATGTGAATCATTTTGTGCCCAATTAGGTGCCGCTGGAAACGCTTTTCGCCGCAAAACACGTCGTCTTTCAAAACAAAACGATTTCCATTTTTGATAATATTTCAAAAGCAATCTTTTTTGACGTTTTTGTCTCAAGTAATCAAAAATCTCTCCGTTTTCATGCATTGAAAGTTCGATTACATTAGAAGCGATTTGTTTAACAATCAAATCAATACAATCGTATAGGAATTTATTGGAGCTCTCTTTTATCGGTTTGGCTCTCAATCACTTCAATCACTTCCAGTTCTTCATTTGGGTTTTGGTCACCAATTTGGTCATCACTTGAATATTCAATCGTTTGGTTAAACGAATGCAAAGGACTGAGGGTTTTATTTAGATTTTTGGTGAAAGCATTTGATTCTAACATTTCCTGCTCTAAAAGATGTCTTAAATTAGATCCGGAATTTGAAGTGTGTATCGGTTCATTGGAACCAATTTCTGGCATCTCTTCGCGTCTCATTCTTTTGGGCCAAATCTTCAATTCTGAGTCCAAACATGAAAATGAATACTCAATTTCACTCAAATGTGAGTCATTTTGTGCCCAATTAGGTGCCGCTGGAAACGCTTTTCGCCGCAAAACACGCCGTCTTTCAAAGCAAAACAATTTCCATTTTTGATAATATTTAAAAAGTTTAGAAAAAACTGCAAAAACAGAGTTCATTAGTTTTTAGAGAGGCAAAAGTACGTAACTTTCAAGCTAATGTAATCTTCGCTAAACAAATTGTTAGTTTAGTTATGTTAGCATATCCTTAAATAACCCCATCAGTTCTCTTTCAGTATTTTTGTTAAAATTATCATTAAATGTCTGCTGAGAATAATTGTAGTGAAAAGTATTGGTTGTGGGATCAGTTGGCAGCCATTTGGGTGCAGCGGGAAAACAATGTTTCAAATAAATAAATCGCTTTCTTCTCGTAAACACTTGTTTCCATTTCGTGAAATACTTGTGTTCTAAGCGTTTAATTCTGTTTTCATTAATGATCCGAATAATGGTTTGTCTTTCTTCAAGTGCTGCCGAAAGTGTGTGAGAAGCGATCGATTCCGTCATATCTGTGAGCAGTTCTTTAAGAATCTCATTTCCAATCATTTCATTCTGTCTTTCGTTGAATTCAATTTGACATTCACTCAACATTTGCTGACAAATCATTTTAATTTGATAATCAATCAAATCATTGGCCAATTGTTGGCACATTTCAATTGTTAATTCTTCAATTTGTTCCCTTTCTTTCGCTTTTCTGTCGTTTTCTTCTTTAATTACATTAATTGCAATTTCTTTAATCATATAATCAGTGGTTTCGAGTAACAGCTCAGAGAAGAGCTTACAAACCAGTTGTTGAGCAACAATAGTCTCAATTCGCTTCAATTCTTCATTACATATTTGAGTTGACAATTGTTTAGTAACCAAATCAAGCAATTCTTCTCCAATTAAAAAGCATAAGCTATCAATTTGTTCCGTTTGTAAAGCACTTGGTTTTTGATTCTGCATTAAATAACTAGAGTTTATAGTTTGAGAGGACTCTAAAGTGTTGGGCAAACGAAGTGGCAATGAATT